GGGGAGGAGCCGCGGGTGGGAGGGGCTGAGCTGTCGGGGGCGGGGCGGATGGGGGCCGGTTGTGGCGGGAAAGGGGCGCTGCCAGTGGGCGGGCTAAGAGGGGCGGGGCCGGGAAGGGGCAGGGCTGTGGGGAATGAGGTAGAAAGTGGGCGTGGTCGTGGAAGAGGTGGGTGGGCCCTGGGGCGAGGAGGGGCTTGAGAAGGGGTGCTGTGAGTGGCAGCAGCTGAGAGGGGCGGAGCTGGAGGGGGTGTTGCGGGAGGGGAAAGAGGCGTGATGTGTGGTGGGTGTGGCCACGGATGGGCGGGGCAGGAAGGGAAGGCGTAGGAATGCTTTGAGTGGGAAGGGGTGAAAGGGGGTGGTGCCATGAGGGCACTGTGGAACGGGAAGGGGCAGTAGAAGGGGCACAAGGGGTCTCCTGGGGGGTTGCCTCCTTGACTCTGCACTGACCGCGGCGGGGCTGGCCCCCACAGGCACTGGCAGGTCAGCAGCCGCCACCATCAGACCTGCACCCTGGACTATGGCTACCTGCTGGGGCTGCTGGAGGACCTGCAGGCACACTGGGAGGAGGCGTCATCCCTGCCCCAAGAGCAGGTGAGCGAACCCTCGTCGTTGGCTGGAAGTGCTGTTCCTGGCGGGTGTGCCCTGGGCAGCTCGTGGGCTGGACAGACAGGGCGCATGGCCTACAGGGTGGTGTGAGCTTGAAAATAGACTTCATGACCCAGGGCAGAGCAAGACTGGGCACTGCTGAGATCGGGGGATGGGGTGGAATCCCAGGAGAGGGAGGTTGTACCCTTCACTTGGCTGAGGGGCCGAGGCAGTGGGCGCTGGCCACTGGCCAGGGGGAACAGGTGGTGCAAAGGCCCTGAGGCTGTGGGATAAAGTAGCAGGGCCAGGCTTGTGGATGGCTGCAGGAGGCCTTTGCGGATGGGCTGCTCCCCCACCCCTACCCGCGGGGATGGCCGTGAGAGGGTCAGCTCTGACGGGCCCTGTGCGCCTAGGAGGAGAGCCTGGCTGACAGCTTCTCTGCCTTCTCCGAGTTCGGGCTGCGGCTGCTGCGCCAGTTGCGGGACTATTTCCCAGCCACCAACAGCACAGCCGTGTACCGCCTGGAGCTGCTGCTGAAGTGGGTGCCGCTCCAGTGCTGGCGGGGCGGGGGGGGGGGGGGGTGCGCGGGACTGGGGCGCTGCAGTCAGCAGGTGGCCCCTGTGCAGGTGTCTCAGCAAGGTGCAGCTCTTCCAGCCGTCCTTCGAGAGCTGTCCCTTCGAGACAGAGCTGAACATGGACATCGCCGCGGCCCTGAAGGTGTGTCCCACCCCCAGCTGCCCGCCCCAGCCCCCGGCTTGGCCCGCTCTGTCACTCTCCACTGCCCTTTTAGCCTCCCCCATTCCCCACAGCGTCTCGGTGTGAGGAACGGCCACTGCCAGGCTCTGCTTGTCTTGCAGAGAGGCAACCGTGAGTGGTACGACAGGCTCCTGAACAGCAAGAGTCCTCGGGAGCAGGTGCCGCTCGGGGAGAGCCCGTCCACAGGGGCGGGGCGGGGCGGGGCGGGCCCGGAGGTCACGTGAACCGCGCTTCCTCGCAGCCCGGGCCGCAGCGCCTCGCCGGGCTGGTGCAGCTGGCCGACGCCGTCTACGAGGATCTGCAGTCCTGCTATGGGGTCTACGCCAGCCTCTTCCACAGGTGGGGCCCCTGCCCTGGCCCCTCGGGGACGCCGCCAGGCCGGGCGTGGGGCAAGCAGCCGTGTGGGGTGTGTTTTGCAGCATCGTCGAGATCGACTTCTTCACCCTCACCTGCCGGCAGCTGGAACGTCTGGTGAGGAGGGGAGTGGGGAGAAGCCCCCTGGCTGGGAGGGCGCCTCGGTTTCCTTTTTGCCCGCAGCCCCTGACTCCACCATCCTGACAGGTGGCCGAGGAGGCGTGGGTGCTGACGGAGGAGCTGAGCCCCAAGTTGACCCTCGAGGTGGCCTCGGGGCTCTTTGAGCTGTACCTGACCCTGGCCGACATCCAGGGCTTCTGGAGCAGCCTCCCCGGCCGGTGGGTGCCCTGCCCAGCCTCTCCCCTTCCCTCCACCCGCCCCCACCTGTCCACTCTTTGCCTCCCAGACCCATCCCCACTCCTCCCCATCCCCGCGCCCCGGCTGTCCTCCAGCTTCCTCTAGGAGGCCCCTGGGACAGGATCCTGAGGAGGGAGGGCACCTGGGGTTTACTGGCTCCGGGTGTCTGAGTCAGGGCGAGCTCTGTCGGGCCCCCGCTGCAGCGACAGCCGCTCCCTTGCTCTGGCCGGCATCCACGCCCCCTTCCTGCCCGCCGTGAAGCTCTGGCTGCAGGTGCTGCGGGACCAGGCCAGGTGCAGACTGCAGGGAGCCGTGGACGTGGACACAGTGAGTAAGACCCAGGCCCTAGACTGCTGGGCTCAGCCAGGGCTGCCCTGCAACCCAGGCCTCCTCCCGCCCTCTTAGCTGGAGCCCACGGATGCCTCCTCCAAGCACAGCAGCTCCGCGGCCACTGCCAGCCTCTGCTTCAGTCACATCCAGGAGCTGTGGGCCCGCCTGGCGTGGCCAGACCCTGCCCAGGCCCAGGCGCTGGGCACCCAGCTGAGCCAGGTGTGTGGCTGCGGGTTTGGGGAATGTGGTGTGGGAGGGCAGCAGCACCAGGGGACGCAGCCCACAGCTCCCACCCCTCGTGTCTCACCCTAGGACCTGTGCGAGGCCACCCTCTTCTACACTGAGCTGTTGCGGAAGAAGGTGGACGCTCAGCCTGGGGCCGCAGGCGAGGCAGTGAGCGAGCCAGTGAGCAGGCTGGTGGCCAAGTGGCAGGGGGCTGGTGGCTGTGTGGGGCCGGTGCGGGGCTGCTCACGCACTCGCCCACATCTGGCCTGCCTCCCCAGCTCTGCATGGTGCTCAACAACGTGGAGCTCCTCCGCAAGGCTGCTGGGCAGGCTCTGCGGGGTCTGGCGTGGCCGGAGGCCCCCTCGGCGCTGGAAGGGGGGCTCCCGCGGCCCCTGCTCAGCTGCACGCAGGCCCTGGACGAAGACCTGCAGCAGGAGGTCCAGACCGTGACCGCGCACCTGACCTCCAAGGTGGGCGGGCTGGCGGGCAGGTGGGGGAGCCGGCTGCCTGGTGCCCTGCCGCGGGGTGCCGACGAGCGCTGCCCTCCCACAGATGGTGGCCGACATCCGGAAGTACGTGCAGCACATCAGCCTGTCGCCGGACTCCATCCAGAACGACGAGGTGCGTGCGCGGCTGGCGGGGGACGTGTGGGGGGCCCGTGGGTGGGCTGGCGCTGAGGGTGCTGCCCGTAGGCTGTGGCCCCGCTCATGAAGTACCTGGACGAGAAGCTGGCCCTGCTGAATGCGGCGCTGGTCAAGGAGAATCTGAGCAGGTGGGGCTGGGGCCGGGGGTGGGGGTGGGGTGCGGCCCATAGTGCCGACGCCAACGCCGGGTGTCCCTGCAGGGTGCTGGAGGCCCTCTGGGAGCTACTGCTACAGGCCATCCTGCAGGCCCTCGGGGCCAACCTCGACGTCTCCGCAGACTTCTACGGCCGCTTCCACTTCGCGCTGGAGGTAGGGCCCTGGGGAGGAGCGGTCCCTGCTGGGGCGCCTGGCCTTCCAGGCCTGAAGGGCTCCTCGGGGATCCTGGCCACCCGGCACCTCCTGCCTGCCCGCCCACTGTGTCAGCAGCACCTGGGCCCCCGGGCCTTGGCATTCTCCCCCACTGGCCCGGGGCTTCAGAGGGGCGCGAGGCGTGAGAAGCGGGTCCACCGGTCTCAGCCTGCGGGCCCGGGACGGCTGTGCCTCTGACGGCTCTGCCTTCTTGCCCTGCCCCAGGCCCTGGTGAATTTTTTCCACGCGGAGGGTCAGGGTCTGCCCCTGGAGAACCTGAGGGACGGAAGCTACAAGGTGAGGCCTGGCCTGGGGGCCTCCGGCCGAGAGGGGGGTTGTGCGCGCTGGGGGCCGTGCTCAGCGCCCGGTGCGCCCCGCAGAGGCTGGAGGAGGAGCTGCGTCTGCACCAGTGCTCCACCCGCGAGTGCATCGAGCAGTACTACCTGGACAAGCTCAAGCAGGTAGCGAGGCCGGGGGCTGCGCACTCGGCCTCTCCCCGCGCTCCCCGCCCCCACCCAGCCTGGTCACTGGCCTGAGCCCTTCCACAGAGGTCCCTGGAGCAGAACCGGTTTGGGCGCCTGAGCGTCCGCTGCCACTACGAGGCGGCGGAGCAGAGGCTGGTGGTGGAGGTCCTGCACGCCGCGGACCTGCCCCCGCTGGACGCCAATGGTGAGGGGGCGGGGCGCCGGCGGGGCGCGGGGCTGGAGGGCTGCCGGGTGGCGGCGCTCACGGTCGGCTCCTGGCTGCACTCCTCAGGCCTGAGCGACCCTTTCGTGATTGTGGAGCTGGGCCCGCCGCACCTCTTCCCGCTGGTGCGCAGCCAGAGGACGCAGGTCAAGAGCCGGACGCTGCACCCCGTGTACGACGAGCTCTTCTACTTGTGAGTGTCCCGCCCCGCCCCCAGCAGTTCTCGCGCGCGCGCCGCAGCCCGGGCCGGAGCCGGGCTCGGATGACCGCCCTCCGCTCGCAGCTCCGTGCCGGCAGAGGCGTGCCGCCGCCGCGGCGCCTGCGTGCTGTTCACGGTCATGGACCACGACTGGCTGTCCACCAACGACTTCGCGGGGGAGGCGGCCCTCGGCCTGGGCAGCATTGGTGGCATAGCGCGGCCGCAGGTGGGAGGGAGCGCGAGGGCCAGGCAGCCTGTCACCCTGCACCTGCGCCGGCCCAGAGCCCAGGGTGAGTGCGGGTCCCCGGGGGAGGGGGGGGGGGGGGGGGGGGGGGGGGGCGGGGGGGGGGGCCCCCGCCCCCCCCCCCCCCCCCCCCCGCCCCCCGCAGTGAAGTCAGCGCTCAGGATGCTGGAGGGCCGCACCAACAAGGAGGCGCAGGAGTTTGTCAAGAAACTCAAGGAGCTGGAGAAGAGCATGGAAGCAGACCCTTGAGTCCCCTCATCATCCTCATCCAGCCCTGTGGTCAGCTTTGTGCAGCCGGGGCTCACTCCCCCACCCCGCCATGTGGTGTGCATGCGCAGCTGGCCCTCCCGCTCCTTCCTGCCCTGGCCGTGTCCATGTGGTGTGTCCTGTGAACCCCGTGAATCCATCCAGCAACCCCCATGCCGGGTCTGGGGATGTTGACTTGGTGGGGCCTGGCCACAAGGTGAGCTTCCCCGTCTGCCTGCTCAGCTCCCATGGCCCCACGGCAGGCAGACACCGGTCTGAGAGCAGGGTTCTCAGTGGGGTGGCTTAGCTCCCCAGGAAACTTTAGGCCATGTCTGGAGTCAGTTTTGGTGGTCGCAACTACAGGCTGGAGGAGGGGCTACTGGCACTAGGGGTGAGACCAGGGATGCCCCCGAGCAAAGGTGGACCACTCTCAGGTGTTACCAGCGCCATAGCAAAGAGCCCATCTTAGAAGAAGCTCTGTCTTCTCTTCTGGGGCTGGGAGTGTTGCAGGGCCTTGTGGGCCAAGAGGCAGGACAGCTCGGGTTTCAGTCTGGACTAAGCAAGGTGGCAGGACATAGCTCCCAGGGGCTCTGACAGAGGGGAGGGTGGGCACCCAGAAGGTATATGGACAGGTTTGCTTAAGAACTGCATAGGTCTCCACTCCCCACCTGGCTCTGAGGCCTGGGAGAGGGTCCCCTGGCATCACTGTGAGGCTGGGGACATCACGCAGAGTTGGTCCGTGTAAGGAGCTCTGTGCTGGGCATGCAGCTGTCCAGCGTATTCTGTGTCTACCAGTGCCTGCCCGTGCGAGACCAGCCTCACGCCTGGAACCCCCATGGTCCATACCCTTCCTAGGCAGGCCCTGCCTCACTGGATACTCATCCCCTGCAAGCCTCCCCAATCCCCAGACCAAGTGCAAAGAAACAGGCTCACACTGGGGTCTCCTTGGCCCGCAGCTTCAATGGGAGGGCTGGACGGCCCCAGAACACAGCCATGTCACATGCATGGGGACAGAGTCTGGTGCTGCTCAGTGCTATGAGGGCTGAGGCTGCTAGGCCTGTCTGTGTCCCCACAAGTCCTGCTGTGTCTCCAGTCCTCATTGCTCCGCCATGAAAATAAACGTGTGCAGTCTTTAGTCTCTCTGCTGTTTCTTGATTCCTTCCCAAATCTCTGCGGGGGCCTTGGCCTTTGCCCCTTGCTCAAGAGGACTGTCCTCCTCAGGGCAGCTGCTGCTGCCATGGTCTCCTCCGTCCTCGGCATCAGGGCCGTGCCCCTCAGACTCGTCCTCGCTGTCGCTGTCACCGCTGTCTGCAAGCATCCTGGAAGGGACAGCTGTGTTCACCGACGGCGCACTCACTCGACAAAAGCCCAGCTGAGGGCAGATTCTCCTGTTCCCTGGGAAGCCCAAGGACCTACCGGTTGCCAGCCACTGGCCTGTTGGGGTTTGCAAACTCACGCCCAGAATCCACGTCAAAAGGATCTGAACAGAGAAAGCAAGCAAGAAAGGGACGTACAGGTGAGCTCAGAGCACAACTGAGCCTCCCAGGTGCTGGGGCAGCAAGGCCTCACCCCCTCGGCTTCTCAAAACGAGGTGTGGCATGCCCAGATGGTCCTGGCTCCCAACCAGAGGGCTTGCATCCATGCCAGGCCTCACCGATTTCCTCCTCCTCCGGGCGCTCCTTGGCGTTGGCCAGGAACTCCTGCTCGGCCTGGAGTACCTCCTCCGCGCTGCCGCAGGCTGCATACTTGTCCAGGAGCTGGCGGTTCAGGTCTAGGAAGCCCTCGCCCCACTTGAACTTCCGCAGCAAAATGACAGCAAGGTCCGAGAAACCTGACGGCGCGGACACCAGAAACCCAACAATGCTGACAATCCGTCTCCCATCCCAAGTGTATCCCCGGGACCCACAATGCCATCCCCACACCTGAAACTCCCCATCAGACACCATCCTACAGTCCAGACGAGCTGCTTGCCCGCCTCTGCCATGCACAGAGGCCCTCTCACGGGGCTGCCTGTCCGAGCCTCCACAGGGACCATGTGTTCTCTGAGGGCAAGGTGAGGGGTGACGGAGGTGGCACTGCAGTCCTGGCCTGTCCACCTCGACCGCCCCACACACCCTCACACTGCTCGCAAGAGGAGATGGTGGGAAACAATGCTGCTGGTGTGGCCAGACTCAGCCCCTCGCCGGCACTCACCCAGGATGCAGAAGGTGGCAGCAAAAGCCTCCACACAGGACAGCTTGCAGGGCCGGCCGTAGTTCACGGGGTTGGCGGCGACTAGGTGGGGCAGCAGCCGCACCTGGCTCCCCCGCATCTTCCCGAACGGTGTCTCATCCAGGCGGGCCCAGGAGCAGTCGACCACAGCGACCCCACTCTGTGCCACCAGCTGTCTGTCGGGAGCAGGGGAGGGCTAGGTTCTGGAGACGACGTCCCTGGAGACTGATCTCTCCAGGGATACAAGAACATCATTCCTCGGCCCCCAAACAACCCCAGCAGCGTGTGTTCCTGCAGCGGATTCCTTCATTCACTCAACACACGTTTACTGAGACCTACTAGATCCTGCGCTAGGCAGCGGGGGCGACCTATACACGCACGCCTCGCGGAGCCCCGCAAGAAGGATGTGCCAGGGTCCCGCCCACTCCCCCATCCCCGGGCCCCGATCCTACCTGTCCGCGGGGGACACGTACTGGGAGCCCACCGGGCTGAGCACGACGCCGCCGAACCTGTGGCCCAGGCGCAGGCAGCGCACCAGACCCAGGCGGGCCAGCTTTCGGCCGGTACAGCGCCGGGGGTCACAGTGGCCCAGCTCCCACATGGCCAGCGTGCAGGGTAGTCGCGCCGGGCCCGAGGGGCCCCCGTCCTCGGCCGCCTCTGGTTCCACCGACTCTGCACGGGGGCGCGGAAGGATACCGAGCCTCAGGCTCCGCTCGTCGAGCCGGCCCCCAGCCCCCGGCTCCCTGACCCGCGGCCCCGATCGCACCCACTCACCGCGCAGCGCGGCGCCCACCTCCTCGGCGAAGGCCTCCAGGGAGCGGCCCGCTGGGTGCCGAGCGCGGCTGCCTTCGGCCCCCGGCCTCCGCGCGGCCCTTCTGCGGCCCATGGCGGGCAGCAGGGCCCCTGACACCTGCGGATTCACAGGTTAGCCACAAGCGCTCGCGCAGGCGCCGAGCGCCACTTCCGGTCCGGCGGCGCCCACGTGACCGGGCGGCGCCCACGTGACCGCGCGCGCGGCGGAGCGATGGCGGCGGGGCTGGCCAGCTTTCTGCTGCTGCTGGGGCTCGCGGCGCGCGGTTAGTGTCCCTGCGCTCCGGGGCCCCTCGCGTGCGCCGTCCCCCGCCTCCCGCGCGCCTCCTTACCGCCCGCTTCCCCGCAGGGCCCGCTCCCGCCGCTGCCGCCAAGATGAAAGTGGTGGAGGAGCCCAACGCGTTCGGGTGAGCGGCCCCGCGGGGCGCGGCGGGGCGCGGAGGGACAGCCCCGAGCTCGGTTGCCGCTGACCCTGCCGCTTCTCGCAGGCTCAACAACCCGTTCCTGCCCCAGACCAGTCGCCTCCAGCCCAAGAAAGACCCTTCACCCGTGTCTGGTGAGTGCGGGGCCCTGGCCGCGCCCATGGAGGGGAGCGGGGAGCCCCGCGGGTGGACGGGGCAGCCTGGGAGGCGGGCCCTTGGAAGGGCGCGGGGCGCGTGCGTTCGCTTGTCAGCCGCTCAGTCTTCGAGTGCACCAGCGTTAGTATTTCCAGAACGTTCTAGTACCAGTTAAACAGGTTGTGCGGATGAGTTCGCTTTAGTTCTTTTTGTGGAGGTGATTTCCGTTAACCGTTGGGCACTGACGTCTTTTGTGCTTTTACGTGCCTAAACGTACAAGGAAAAACGTGCATTAATGTGCTTTGGTGCTTTCTGCCGCTGTTTTTTAAAACGTATCTTTTGCCGTTTTTCGAACAGCGCGAGCTACACAGGTTTGCTCATTTGGTGTTGGGAATCACTGTGTGTCCTCCTGGTGGGGAGTTCCACAGGCCTCCACGCTTCTCACTTGATGCTTGGTCTGTTAGAGGATGGCGCTGCATTCCTGTATCCTGAAACGTTCTGTTTAAGCTCGTTGGCCGTTAGAAGCAGTGCTGTGCAGAACATTCCTCATCCGGACTCTTCCTGAGCCGGGTGCGCGGTTTCCTAAGGCAGGATCCCAGAAGTGGAGTCGCGGGTCGGGAAGCAGAAACCCAGTAGTGTTTTTTATTGAGCATACTGTGTGGTAGGGTGTGTGGTGGGAATGCAGAAATGAGCAAAACATAGAGCGTTTGTTCGCCAGGAGGTGACAGTCTAATGGGTGGAGTGTGTGTGCGCCCACGGGGTAAACCAAGAAGTAGGGGAAGTGTGGGATGCTTGGTGACGAGAATTACTCTGTAGGTGTGGAAAGCAGAGAAAGATACCGTGTGTGTGTGAAGAGGTGAGTGTTGTTTTGGTGATTGCCATATTATTTTATTTTTAACTATTCTTAAAGATTTTTTTTTTTTAATTTGACAGATCACAAGTAGGCAGAGAGGCAGGCAGAGAGAGACAGGAGAAGGAGGCAGGCTCTCCGCTGAGCAGAGAGCCCGATGCGGGACTCGATCCCAGGACCCTGAGATCATGACCCGAGCCGAAGGCAGAGGCTTTAACCACTGAGCCACCCAGGCGCCCCTATTTTTAACTATTAAGTGAACTGTACACCCATTGTGGGGCTCAAACTCAGGACCCCAAAATCAAGAGGCGTATGTTCTAGGGACTGAGCCACTGGGCGCCCCTTGGAATTGACATTTTAAATAGGGGAGTCAGGAAAAAGCTGAGAAATGACATTTGGTCCGAAGCAGAAGGAGGAAAGGACGTGAGGCGGGGATGGGGGTACTTGGGAAGAGGGGTACAGCAAAAGGGGGGGCCCAAGCCAGCAGGGTTGGGGATGTGTGGGATGAAGTCAGAGAGGGAACAGATGTGACAAATCTATCCTTGCTTTTTATTACTAAAAGTATCAAAAAGAAAAATGGAGAAACGGGACCGTGAACACCAGCGTGCTCTGGGCCTCCGTGAACGTTTCCCACTCGCCTGGTCTTCCTTTCCGTTACCATTTTGAAAACGAGTTTGAAACCAGGTTATAGACGTTATGACACTTTGTCCCTAAAGAGTTCCAGTATGGGTCCCCCAGCCCCCAAAATTAGCCAGTGTGTACTGTAAGCAGTCCACGTCCCCTGGTTGTCTCAGTGCCCTCCACAGCTGCCCCCCATCCCAGGATTATTCAAGGCTCACACGTGTCTTTGGTTAGTCAGGTGTCTAGTTTGTTTGTTTTAAATAATTGAGTTTTGTTTATTTTATTTTATTTATTTATTTGACAGAGAAAGACCACAAGTAGGCAGAGAGGCAGGCAGAGAGAGAGGAAGGGAAGCAGGTTCCCTGCTGAGCAGAGAGCCCGATGCGGGGCTCGATCCCAGGACCCTGAGATCATGACCTGAGCCGAAGGCAGAGGCTTAACCCACTGAGCCACCCAGGCGCCCCAGGTGTCTGGTTTTAAATCTGGAACAGGTCCCTCTACACTGTATCTCCGTTAAAAAAAGGCCTTCATGGGCGCCTGGGTGGCTCAGTGGGTTGGGCCTCTGGCTTCCGGTCAGGTCATGATCTCAGGGTCCTGGGATCGAGCCCCGCATCAGGCGCTTTGCTCAGCAGGGAGTCTGCTTTCCTCCCTCTCTCTCTACCTGCCTCTCTGCCTACTTGTGATCTTTTTCTGTCAAATAAATAAAAATCTTTTTAAAACATGAATAAAAATAAAAAAGCCTTTCATGATCTTGAGTTGGGAGGAGTCCGGGCCAGTTGTCTTGGAGGATGACCTCCTGGATCGGTCTGGTTTAGTCATTCGCCTTGTCCTTTTCCTGCGGCGTGTGCTCCATGAGCAGAAAGATAGCTGGGAAGCTTGACTGCGGTCAGGTGGTCAAGTCCAGCAGTCTGGACACGGATCCTTCCTAGCAAGGCAGCGGACCACGTGTGGCCTCATGTGGGAGGTCAGGGTTTGGCTGTGGCACAGCGTGGCCAGGGTCTCTCCAGTGTTGACACAGACTTCTGCCTCTGCTCTTGGCATGTGGGCTTCGAGCTGTCCCTGGGCTTGGAGCGACCTCTGTGCCCAGGAGTCTCACGCTCTACCCCATGGGAGGAGGAGAGCGTGTGACCGCTTTCTACCGCTCTCGTGCCTTCCGCATCTCCTAGCTGATTGTCTGACAGGGAAGACCCTTCCTCTCCCTTCCTTTCTCTTTTCTTTTTGAAGATCATTATTGGCTCAGACTGAAACTATTTTTATGGGGCTGATGTGTGACAGTTGGTCACATCCACGTCCTGGTTACCCAAAACAAGGTGGAGAACAGGTCTGTCACCCAGAATGTGACTGTGTTCCTTTCCAGATCCTCCTCCTCCCTTTCTGGTGTCTGTCACTGTGGATGGGTCTCCTCTGTGCGTGGCCTGCGGCTTCATGGCGTCCCAGCACACAGATCCCCATGTCTGGTTTCTTTCTGGCCTCGTGTTTCCGGGAGTCCTCATGGTGGTGTGTATCATTGCTCTTTCTTATTGGTGCATATAAAACTGGAGCCCGGTCTCTGCCCAGCAGGGAGCCTGCTTCCCTTCCTCTCTCTCTGCCTGCCTCTCTGCCTGTGATCTCTGTCAAATAAATAAATAAAATCTTAAAAAAAAAAAAAACTTAAAAAAAACCAAAAAAAAACCCAGAGCCCGAGTATGGCCCATAGTTGATCGTGTCACGCGTGTATGTCTGTGTCGTAGTCGAGGTGATGAACCAGAGCTGGGTAGGCGGTGGGAGAGGCTGCGTGATGGTACATGGACCGTGGACCTAGAGTTTTTCAGCTTCTTGTCTCATTATTTGAAAAAGGATACACATGCGTGTGTGTGTGTGTGTAGGAAGACCCGTGTGACTTTAAGTTTCCAGTTGAAATGTAGTACTGCAGGACTGGGTTTTTTTCCCCATCTTTTTCTAACATTGAAAAGCTGGGCTCCTTAATTACATAAATACGTCTACTGACTTACTCCCTTAATTACATAAAATAGTATAAAATAGCTTTGTGTTTATAGTAATAGTAGTACTAGTAACCATGAAATGAGAGGGTGATGTTGGAGTTTTGATGCAGTTCATTTTAGGGTGTATCCAACCAGACATGGAGCTCAGAGCTCTGGGCTACAAGGCTGACCACATCCGCGTCTACTAAGCAGTTTGACGAGCACTTGGGGCAAGTGTTTCTGCCTGTGCCCGCTGCTAGTGCCTGATGTGCGTCTTTTCCGCCTAGGGTTTTCACTGAACTTTAAAACCGTTTTTACTTTTTAAGATTTTATTTATTTATTTGACAGAGATCACAGGCAGAGAGGCAGGCAGAGAGAGGGGGGAAGCAGGCTCCCCGCTGAGCAGAGAGCCGGATGCGGGGCTCGATCCCAGGACCCTGAGACCATGACCTGAGCCGAAGGCAGAGGCTTAACCCACTGAGCCACCCAGGCGCCCCTAAAACCGTTTGTTTTTAAGGTGGTTTTTTATTTAAGATGTATTTATTTTAGAGAAAGAGCTCACAAGCAAGGTTGGCAGGGGGGCTAAGAGGGGCAGAGGGAGAGAATCCCGAGCAAACCCCTCACTGAGCCCGGAGCCCCACCTGGGGCTTGATCTCACGAGCCCGAGATCGTGACCTTAGCCGAAATCAAGAGTCGGGCGCTCAGCCGATGGCGCCTGATTTTTATTTGAGTTTGAACAGTTTTGTGATAGGGCCGGTTGGGCGCGTGTGGGAAAGTGGCGGGAAGGCCTTGGAGACCGCCGGTCCCGCTCAGGCCGTCACGCCGCGGCTGATCTCACAGCTCAGATCGTCTGTAAATCTTTCCGTGTGGACGTCCTAAGGGCATAGCCACATTGTTTTTGTCACACTTAGGAAAAGATGAGCACTAATTCCTTTGGTAAAAATCCATCCGTGCTTCCGGTGTCTGATGGTCTCCCGTGTTCAGGAGCTGGTTTGTGCGAGTCCGTGTTCCGCTCTGTGTGTCGTGGCTCATGCGCTGCGCCTTGGGATCTAGAGCGCCGCCCCTGTGTCCTCACAACTTCTTTATCGAAGAAATTGGGCCATTTGTTTCCCACATTC